GGGTCTCAAAGCATAAGAAGCAATATCGATTCAGTGATATAAAAACTTGCGTGACTATTCTTCTCCTCCAATGACTGCTTTAGAGATCCACATCATCTCATCACTCTTGTCACAGAATACGAAGAAGTGAAGAGACGATTACTTTACAGATTTTCAAGCAAAAGGTCATGATTGAAATGTTGACTTATCATAACCTGTAAAAACAAAACAACAAATCCTGCCGTGTGCGCTAAAGATGAACGTCCTCATCGCAAACCTAAAGACCATCAAGCTTATGTCATCAACACGGACGACTGTCATCTTCCAGGAACCCACAGGGTAGCCATCTACTTTTCACACGATGTCTGTGTTGTTTCTTTTGATTCGTATACCACTTCCATCACTTGTAATATATATATATATATTTTTGTTTGTGTGCGTGCACGTATGTGTGTTATTGCATTTTCTTTGTGAGCGTGCGTGCTTGTGATTGTTTATTTTTGTTTCTGTCCTGCGCTTGCGTGTGTATGTGTGTATTTTTGGAGTGCGTGCACGTACGTGTTTGTATTTTTGTTTGCATGCGTGCACGTACGTGTGTGTTTGCTTGTGTGCGTGCGAATAAGTGTCCGTTTTCATTTGTGTGCGTGTGCTTACGTGTGTTTTTTGTTTATGTATGAATGTGAGTATTTTTTTCTTTGTATGCCTTCACGTACGTGTGTTTGTATCTGTGTGCATGCACGTGCGTGTGTGTCCTTTTTTGCTTACAAAACCCTTTATCCCTACTATCATGTGCCAACAGCTGCCTCGCTTGGCGCTCAGCATTAAGAGTTTAGTGTTAGGACAGGTCGGCCTGGTGTCAAGGATAATGTGATTGGGTGGGACATCATGCTATATGTTTGCGGCATGATGCTCCAGTGCTAGACATCACTATAAACTGCCACATTGCAATCATCGTAGTGATATGACAGAAAAATAGTTAAAGCTGCATTAAAAGTCCTAATCACATTACATTATTATTGCCCCTGGTCAATATAGCTGCGCGTATTCAGGTCAGCCACGTGCGACACTTTTGAGGTCAGAAACTTATATCTATGGAAAGCCGCAGGTACCCGGCGGTGATCAAAATATTTTCCTATATTTTTATATAGGCAACAATTAGCGGCTCCAACAAAAATTAGCGGCTCCTAAAATGACGCTGATTACATTTTTTCTCTATATTTTTCATATTGACGACAATTAGCGGCTCCATCAATAATTAGCGTCTCCTTCTACAATTAGCGGCTCCTAAAACACTTTTTATAATGTACGTCTCCGTAAAAATAATAACAATTTACGGCTCCAAAACAGATGAAGCTCAGTCTACAAACTACAATCACCGGCTCCTTCAACACTAACGCCGCTGATAATTTTGAGCTCCGACTTTACTAACGAACGAGATTTCAACTAAACAAAACGAGAGCTACTAAACCACAATCTCCGGCTCCTTCAATAGTGACGCCGCTGATAATTTTGAGCTCCGATTTTACTACCAAACCGAACGAGATTTAAACTTAAAAACGAGATTGTAATCACGTGCTTTCATATTCGGAATACTACCATCTTATCTGCATCAATACACTATAGTTGTGTTTGTCCTGAGAAGTTTAATATTTGTTTTCGTTCATATTTCATCATTAATTCAAACAGCCGTTTCTGTTGAGTAGCCACGTTAAGGTGAGTCTATCCGCATCAGTAGTATTTAACATTGTTACTCGATATTTTCACTAGCCTGCTGGTAGGATTTATCTTAATATATCTTTTTTGTCATTAATTTTTTTTTTGTTTTTACCTTTGCATAGCTTTTCTATACTATACTGTACTGTATAGGCCCATTAAGCCACTGTTATGCTAGTGTGTCAGTGGATCCTGTTATATACATACGTATATATATATATATATATATATATATATATATATATATATATATATATATATATATATATATATATATATATACTATATATATATAGTTTTCCACCACCATCCTTGCAGTAATTTATAAAATAAAAACTATATATCATCCACACCACCATTATATCACCTACACCACCATACTGCTGTTGTTCAGGATATATCACTGTTACAGTGTTATATCACTGTTACCACTGTTTCACCATTGTCCAGCACCATGATGCCACCCCTATTCAATTCATATTGTCTATCTAAACTCTTTAGGACCACCCATGTTAAAATTCCCCATGTTAAAATCTCCTTGTCGCCAGATTTTCGGGATCCTTTTTAACATAGCAGTCAATTAAAGTTACCCCCCTCCTTCACTACTGTCGATCTTGAGACGTAAAGACGAGCGACTACGACTCTACTCTTCGACACCGTCGGCGACCAGGACAAGACTCAGTCGGCGAACCTGCAACCATGTCGGCAACCCAGTCGGAGATTCTTTGACCATGTCGGCTACCAGAGGAAGACAGTGTTTTGTACATTCCGGCACATTCGTATGGTGTCCTTTCGCGATAATTTCTTTTGTTAGAAACATAATGGGTAAATATTTTTGTGTGTACAGAACACAATTATTATTATTATTATTATTATTATTATTATTATTATTATTATTATTATTATTATTATTATTATTATTATTATTATTATTATATTATTGTTATTATTATTATTATTATTATTATTATTATTATTATTATTATTATTATTATTATTATTATTATTATTATTATTATTATTATTATTATTATTATTATTATTATTATTACTATTATTGCTTTTATTATTATTATTATCATTATTATTATTATTATTATTATTATTATTATTATTATTGATTTTGTTGTATTGCTGTACTTTACAGTTATCATTATTATTATGATTAGTAGTATTAGTAGTAACCGTAATAGTATTAGCAATAGTAGTAGTAGCAGTGAGACTAGCAATATCAGTAGTTGTATTATTATTTATTTGGCTTCGTACTTTGATAAATCACACCCACTGTCCAAATACCGTGTACTATTATTATCATGAGAAACCGTCAAAATCCTTCATAAAGTGCTACAGTTAAAATGTAGGATTCCTAATTCCATTTATAATGAGCATTGTGATGACACATATATTACGCTTTTTATAATGTTTTGACGTACAACATCAGCTTGTTCAGTGGCTGTCAACACATAGCTACCTATAGTTTAATAAATTACAGAAACAATTTTTACATTCAAGGTGCAAAAGTTCAATTCCTACATATTTATTTCCATTTGATATAATGTGTCATCAAAAAAAAAAGGGAAGGAATTTAGATTTAATTATTGAATGAAATGATGTACATCATCACCAGTCCATTGTTGATAATGTTCTGTTCCCACGAGAATAACTGTTTAACTGCACAGCTAATTATGCATTGCTATATATACTAGGTGCGATCTAAGTTTTGAAACATGTAAAATATCTGATTTAGCTATATATGTGGCAAATGTTGGCTTGAGGGTTATTTTTAAGACGGTCAAGTACTGTCTCCGTTGCCTACGTATGTGATATGTCATGATTTTAATACGAAAGGGCTCTGTTTGATGGCTCCAGTCGCCTAGTGGTTAGAGCTTTCGGTTCGAACCCCGACTGAGTCATAACAATGACTTATAAAAATGTTATGAACAGCTGTGTTTGTGCCTAATGTTAGGACTGGTTGGATTTGTGTCATGATATTTTGAATGGGTAGGCATATTGCTACATGTCTGCGACATGATGCCCAATTGTGAAAGCTACCATAAAAATCCAAATCAGACTCACACTCAGCACAATCAAGTTAAGTTATGATAAAGCTGAAAGTTATATTTTTTTAAAATAAATAAATAATTCATTCATTCATTCATTCATTCATTCATTCATTTTGTTTCAAATCTCGGCTCGTTCGAATTAACGAAGAAAAGAGTGAAGCCAACAAGCTTTGTAAATTTTAACAAGAAAAATCTATTTCCCTAGAAAACAGTAAAAATATGAATAATGACTTACATTTTGTGAATATAATCCAAAAACAATAGTCCTAAAATTGAAACACACAATTACTATCACTAAAATATCCTAAATGAATCCAAGTTAGAATCCCGGGGAAGTTCAAAGATGGCAGACGATGATCACTTTCTACAAGGCACACGCGCCAGAATAGTCTTGTTTAAGAACCAATAATAAAAAAGCGTTGATGACACAATGTGATCACGCGAGAGAGGTATTTTTATGACCTTGAAACTGACCAATCATTTAAACTTCAAGTTTACCATGTCAGAACGAGGTCAGCTAATAAAAATAATGCTAATGAAATAATTTTACGTTCTGTACAAACATAATGTTCCTTTATGAAAAAGATATAGAATCTCGTGAAAAAAATCATTAAAAATGTATTGAAACTAATAAAAAAATTAAATACAACAAACAAGCAATTTAATTACATAAACGTAACAATTCATTCATTGATTTATTTATTTACTTATTTTATTTTCTTCAACTTAATCAAAATCAATCAAATGATATATTATAGAACTATAATAGCACAAATTTAGAAAAAAGAAAATTCTTGCCACAAATCGCAGCCCAGAATTAAAATTCAAAGAATAGCAACAAAAATGTTCAATAAACTAATGTGATGAAATTATACTTAAAAAGAGCAGTATTATAAGACAAATACCCTAATAGCGGATGATCACGTGGTACAAATAAGGCAGCAACCTTTAAACCCATTACTGAACGGGATTTAGCCAGGTCTATAGTGCGGTAAAGACTTGTGTATATGTGATAGAGATTTTTAACGTAGCTTTAACAATTTTTCAGTCATATCGCTACGATGTCTGAAGAGTGACAGTTTTAAGTGATGTCTAGCACTGGGGCATCATGCAGCAGACATGTAGCATGATGTCCCACCCAATTAAATTATCCTGACACCAGGCCGGCCAGTCCTAACACTAACCTCTTATTGCTGAGCGTCAAGTGAGGCAGCTGTTAGTAACATTTGTTTAAAGTCTTTGGTATGACCCAGCCGGGGTTCGAACCCGCGACCTTCCGCATTCGAGGCGGACTCCCTAACAACTTGTGCTTATCCTGCAGATATGTCAAACAAAAAATGTCGCTTGCAAAATAATGTATATTACTATATACTAAGCATATAATCACGTAAACATTATAATTTAAGTTACTTAAATTTATGACCAAAATAGATGGCTTATAAGTGCAACTTTAAAAGTCTAGATCAAAGTTTCAAACAGACACATCTAAATTGAAACTGGACACAAATTACTCTACAAGCTTTCCAACAAAGCAGCAACAACAAGAATAAAAACAAAACAGTAAAACAACAACAACAAACCAATAATGAAACGCACGAAAATGATAAAGGTGTTGTCAGAGCCATAACCATGCGGTTTAGTGTCTTTAGTATACACCTGTATAAAAAGGATGTAGAATCCTGTTCTTATTAGGTTACATTCACCTATTTCTTTAATGTTTCATTCCGTCTCTAACGTTTGTCTTACGTATATGCAACTTGTGTTCCTGCACAGATGCTATTTGGCGTTCAATCTTGCTGTCGCAAAGAATAAAGCAAAGTTTTTCAAATATTGTAGCAATAATCTGCTTGTATGTTGCTGACTTTTATCATAGCGCCTTAATTTCCAACACTGTTTACAACTCTCTGGCTTTGCTACACTTCCTATTTGAGACCACTTCAGTTATTTTCAGCTAACACAAATCTCAACATCTTTATTTCTCATCGATAATTATACTATTTTGCATTATTTAATACAATGATACTATTCCAAAAAGCATTTAAGCTATAATTTATGAAAAACATAGTAACATATAGTTTCACTTGTTGTGATCGATGGCAACGCGATGAGTTTGTGGCACCACCGCTGCCCTGCAGCTGTCTCGTCCTGGTATCTGATTGGCCCTATACCATCAGCACTATCATATGTTCTCTTCACATTTAATGAGCATCATTTCTTTTTCAATACATATCTAGTTCACATCGCCTGCGACATAAAACCGACATCTTTCAACAGTGCCGTAGACAGCTGGATGTATTGCAGTGTACTCAGTGTAACAGAAGTACACTAATAATTGACTTCTATCTTAAAACATTGTTTCATTGCATAGGAAGATTATACATAAAAGTCATTACAGGATGTAATAGTCCAATGTTATGCAATATTCCAAAGTACATAATGTGATATTTAATTATGAAACTTTATCCCTGAGTATAGTCACTAGGAAGAAAAGGAGTTCAAACTTTACATCACGTGGAATTAAGGTAATGTGTTACATGTCTTTGATAATGTTCTAAATGTGCTCAGTTTGTGTTAATCATACGCTATCACTTTCATTGCATTGTTGTTAGTTAGCTAAGAGTATTGTTATGGTTAATGGTAATGGATGGCTTTGTTTATTTCAAATACTGTAACACGATATTCAAATATATATATTGTATATCCTAGGTTATAAAGTGAATGTTTTGACTCTTATTTAGTGACAATTACGATTTGGCAAAGTTATTATAACACAATGTTATTGTTGTATATATGATTCTCAATAAATTAATCATATGTTCTATATAGAGAATGATTCCACACATCTTATGTAAGAATATGGCATGTTACAGTAGTCTATGAATGTGTTGTTAAATCGGCTTAAGATGAAATATTTGTACTGCCAAAAACGTCTTACATATATTTTTTTGAGTCCGTAAGTTCTGTCGTGATGTTCACAATTTGATCACTTGTCCATAGATCTCATCTCATGAAGTCGAATACAGGATGTCATTATAAAGTATATCACACAATCTTTACAATGTTAAAAAAGATATATTCCGCAAGATGTTTATTAAATTTCTTGAAGTTGTAGAATTGTGATATACTTTAATCTCAACTGTCTTGTTATATGATAAATAATAAAGTTTTTCTTCAAAAAGGTATCATGTTCTGGCAAAATAGGTACCATGTTCTCACAAAAAGGTACCATTTCCTTACATAAACGTACCATGATCTGACATAAATCGTACCATGTTCTGACAAAAAGGTACCATTTCCTGACATAAAATGTACCATATTCCGAGATATCTTGGCATGGTTTGTAAATTTGCAGAAATTTCATGAACTAAAGACATTTCCATTCAACTAATGACAAAATTTAATGTGCATAATTAATTTCCTAACTTGAAATTTCTCTAATGTTTAACAAGGACTAAATGACCTCGTTAGAATACGCTAATTTTCTTTACTTTTAATGTGTGATGGAATTAATTAGTTGAAAAATGTCTAAGTACAGGTAGAAAGAGATACGTGTATTTTGAAAAGAATGAACCTTCACGGAAAAGTTTAAATATACGTTCTGGGTCCAAGGGTATCTAGCAGAGTTTAAAAAAGTTATTGTCTTTTGTGTCGCAAATACCACTACTTTTGTCACGTACGGAATATGTTGATAAGATAAGAATGACCGTCTGTAGCAAATATTTATATGGTTCTGAGACAGTGGTTTCCAAGCTCAAGCAGGTCATTGGCTTAAAAACAAAATCGATCTATCTTCTTTCTTGTGAACATAGCATATAAGATTATGAGTATTATTTAGAATGAACATAACATTGATAATTATAAATAATGTTTATTGTGAACATAACTGACGATTTCAAGCAAGGTATAGTGTGAAGATTGCATAGAATATTAAGATTGAATTTTAGGGTGAGCATATCATGAGATATTATGACTGAAGTTTAGTGTGAGCATATAATAGGCGCTTAAGAGTATTGTTTTGTTTAAATATGGCATAGAAGATTACAAATAGTTTGTGGTGTGAACATACATTAATGATTGCTAGTAATGTTTAGTGTGGACATATTGACAATTACAAGCTTTGTTTAATGTGGACATAGTATCAACGATTCAAGCACTGTGTAGTTTGGATATATCATTGACGATTGCAGGTAATGTTTTAGTGTAGAGATAATATTCAGGACTGCAATAATTGTTTAGTGTGGACATTGCGTTGACGATTGCAAGCATTGCTTATCGTGGACATAGCATTGACGATTCCAAGCATTATTTAGTGTGGATATATCATTGACGATTTCAGGTGTTGTTTTAGTGTGGAGATAATATTCACGACTGCAATTATTGTTTAGTGTGGACATTGCGTTGACGATTGCAAGCATTGCTTAGTATGGACATAGCAATGACGATTCCAAGTTTAAGGGAATTACTTGTCTGAGTAAGTACTAATCAATTAAATAAGACTAATAAGACCATTAGAGATTTCGTTAATAAAGAATTATTCTCAGATGATGCAAATAGACATCATTTCCTTTATATTATAGGGCTGTCAATAATATGAAACAAATAACATACATAATATATTTATCTAGTGTTGATTTTTGTTTGTCATTTGACTTTGTAGTACCAAAAACTACTTGTTAGATATTTTTATTACTAAAGGTCGGTTTGTATGATGATTTAAGGCAAATGTTATCGTTTCTGGATTGACTGTTCACCAATTACGGATAATGATTGCTATTTTGCATGCGGTCGCATCTTGCACTTTTGAATAAGAGTTAATTGGCCTACATCATTTTACGCTTTAAAGTAAATGTCATTTTTGTTGTCATTATAAGATGTAGACTTTCATAACTGTGATTAATCGTTTATTTGTTAAGTTCATTCAATTTTAAAATGAATGTGTGAGTTTTTGAGTTTTGTGTGTGTGCGTGCGTGTGTGTGGTTTTGATTTTTTAACGTAGTTTTAACAATTTTGCAGTCATATCGGTATGTCTACAGTGTAGCCCTTTATAGTCATGTTTAGCACATCATGTCCCACCCATATATATCTGTGTAAGTGATTATGTATGATTATGAGTTTTAACGTACATTTAACAATTTTTCAGTTATATCGCTACGATGTCTGCAGTGTGGCAGTTTATAGTGATATCTAGCACTGGGACATCATGTCGCAGACATGTAGAATGATGTCCCACCCAGTCGCATTATCCTGACACCAGGCTGACCAGTCCTAACACTAACCTCTTATTGCTGAGCGTGAAGAGAGGCAGCTGTTAGGACTATTTATTATGTCTTTGGTATGACTCGGCTGGGGTTCCAACCCACTACCCATTATAGACACTAACCACTTAAGCAACAGGAGCAGTCTATAAACTGAATTATAAAGTAAAAAGAAAAACCAAAAAATGTTGAGAACACTATATATTCTGCGACTCATAAATGCATTAATAATTTTAATTATTTTCTTAACGGGAATGATTTCAGAGATATAAAGTGAGTCTTTGGTGTGTCAGTGTGTGTGTGTGTGTGTGTGTGTGCGTGTGTGTGTGTGTGAGACAGAGAAAGAGTCTGATATTTTGGACAGTAAATAACATTTTTTATGTACGTTTTGAAACATAGTCGATTTTGACTTAACCAGTTTTTGTGCAGATATTTAATTGTATCAGAGTTGATCGCCAATGATGACGTTCTTCAACAATACAACCATAATGAAAGCAAACTTCTTACTGGTTCCATAAATTTCAACTCTAGCGTTAACTAAAACGTTTATTGTGGATAACATATCGACCATAATCAAATAAGACTTCCGATGCTTCCAAAGTTGAGACAGATAATTGCCAACCATTTATAGGTAAAATAAATTTATTTTGCTTTAATTTAATCCGAAATTACATCTAAAAAGAATGTTAGATTGGTTAATATTGTTACAGATCACGATATCTTTCTAAACATGAAAACTAATCGATAAAATACATGTCAAATCACGATAAGAAATCACATTATTAATTTCTCGCCGATAATCGATTAGCTTGTTAATACTTGTGTTATAATCTCTAAGTAAATATTTTTAAAAAATGTAAATTGGAAGATTTAGAAATTTTTAATGCTAGCTCTTCCTGCAGCCTTCTCGTTATGGCTAAATGAATTCCTGGTGTTTAGATTGTCGGAATAAAATGTGTAGTCGTTATTTTGAGTTGAATAAATATAATTGGCCAGAAAGAAAGATGAATTATAAGCAACAAAAGTAAATATAGTCATGCATGAAATGATTAAAAACGCG